CGCTCGCGAATCACCTGGCACTGGCCGAGCTCCGAAACATGTTGAGGCCGCCCGCGGAGATCAGGAAGTCGGTGGTCATCGGTCTTAGCAAGCCAATTAAGTGCATTTGAAGCGCCCTCGACGAGTTGCCGCACGTGGTCACGTCTGCGGTATCTCTTCGACCGACGCCCTCCCGAAGTCGGCGCAGACTCCAAAGGCGGCAGCGCGATCGGGAACTGGTCAAAAAGCTTGGGGCGCCCTCCCGCCCGAGAATCCCCCACTCTCAGCGGGCCGCGGCATGGAGGGCCAATCCGCGACCCGTCGTCTAGGTCACCCGCCATCGGGGGCGGCCGCATCGCCTCTGCCGCGGCCCCCCCGCCCTGCCCCAGCACCGCGGCCACGGACGCCGTCGCCGCGGCCCGCAGCGCCCGACGGGGCGGCGCTCGGGTCGGCGCCGTCCGCGGGCCGCGGATGGCGCGAACGAGCCTGCTCCAGCTCGTTCTGGTCCTTCACCTTGGTCAGGCCCCACTTGCGCAAGGCGGGGGCGATGGCGTCGATCGAGTTGGCCTCGCCCTCGTAAACGCCTGCCATCTTCCAGCTGGGGACACCCCCGCCTGTCGCGTAGGCGTCGATCACCCCGCAGATGCGTCTCGTCAACTTCTCGATGCCAGCGGAGGCACCCAAGTTGAGCTGGTCGTACTCGCCGAACAACTTCAGGCTCTCCGTGAGGTTCGTCATCTCGTGGTAGACCCTGTCCGTCTTGCTGATGCCGTGGCCCCGTGCAAAGCCCTGCCACCAGCGCCGTGGGTCACCGCCGTACCGCCCGATGAACCGCGCGAGGTGGAGCGTGCCAGGCGGGCCCTGCACCTCCACGGCCGTGATGGGCTCCTCGCGGCTCTCCTGCACGGCCTTCTTGAAGGACTTGAAACGGTTCCCAGACTCGTCGTAGTCGACCCACAAAGTCCTGACGTCGCCGTCGGCCTCGATGGGAGGAGTCTTCGTGCCGCCGATCGCCAGAGCCCCAGCAGGCGGCTCAGCAGCCGCCGACGTGCTGCGAGCCTTGAGGCGGGCAACGAAGTCGACGCACTCGCTTGAAGGCACCGAGCGAACCCTCAAGAACCCGCCGTGCCGATGCACCAGTCCATCGTGGCTAGTGATGGCGATGTCGCCAGGCCTCAAAGTGACCTCCAGCCCGAGGGTCTCGTGCTCGTCGGAGCTCTCGCACACAATCCAGACACGACCCTCGGCGGGCTCCTCGCGCGCACGCAAAAGACCGAAAGGGTCCTCGGTGGCGTCGCGCACAGCGCCCAGGCCGACCGCGCCAGCGGGCCCCACGGAAGCCCCAGCGCCGTCGGCGTCGCCGTCCAAGGCCACAAGGCCGCCAGCAGCGGCCACGCCCCCAGGGGCCTCGGGCCCCCCCGCAGGCAAGGGCGCGGGACCGCCCAGGCGGCGCCGCCTGCCCACGCCAGCCAGCGCCCTGCGAGAGCCCTCGTGGTCGATGTAGTGAGTCATCGACAGCGGCTCCTCACCAGCGGCCCTGATCTGGTCGACCTGGGCTCTGGCCCAGTCCACGATCTGCTGGCTGCTCGGATAGCGGTCTCCAGCGAAGCGGTAAAATCTTCCTCGCAGGCCCGCTGGACAATTGCCCATGTCGTCCAGGAGGACGATGGTTTCGCCTTCGTCGCCCTCCATGGTCATGTCTTCGTCGTACTTGTCGTGATCGGGCGCCAGCACCTCCCAGCGACTCACTCGGCCGAGTAAGTCGTGAGCGCACGGGCCGAGGACCACCCTCTCGTGGTAGAGGTCCTCTCCTGGGTACTTGACCGCCACGAGGCGGCCAGGGAGGAGCTCATTCAAGAACTCCCGCACCGTAAGACGCTCGCCTGTGGCCTCGAGTCGCACGGCCCGCGGCGCCACCGCGAGCGCCATCCCGTCGACAGCAGCAGCACTGGCCGAAGAAGGTCACCCCGTAGATGAGCTGTCCGAAGCCGAAGAAACCCACGCCGCCCGCGAAGAGGGCGAAGTCCCTCCTCACGCTGTTGCACTGAACCTCGCACACGCAGCGATCAGCCACGAGCTGCTGCGCGATCTCCTCCACGATGCCAGGGTGGACCCAGCTCACGGGGCAGACAACGTCGTCCTGCACAGGCGGGGCGGGAGACGGTGCCAGAGCCTCCGCGCGGCACCAGTCGGCGTCGCCGCCGTCCCAGGGCGGCCGACGCGCGAAGTGGTCCCGCACCACAAAGGTCAGGAAAGCGAGGAACGCTCCCGCCACACCCTGCATGCGGCGAAAACTCTGGAGCCCAGACGACTACTGAGTGACACGCTGAGGTGATGAGACCGACATCCCAAAATCCGCTAAGTCATTGATGTGCACGCACCCCCATCAGACTCATCATCATCATCATCATCATCATCATCATCATCATCATCATCATCATCATCATCATCATCATCATCATAAGCAGCATCATCGTCATCATCAGCAGCATGCCATCATAATTGTCATCATCACTATCAC